GCATTTAGAATTTTAAGAGGGCTTTAAATAAGCAGTAAATCTTAGTAGTAATTCAAAAACCACTCGGTATAGTATATGACATTATAGTATTTTTGGAAAAGAGATTTAGTGACAATTCAGCCGAGCTAAAAAATATATAGTATCCCATTTAAAAATATACAATTTTGGTTTGAAAATATGTTTGAATCACCCTGTATGTTGACAAAATTATTTTGAAAATGTACGTTACCAATGTAATAAAATGTAATGTAAAAAAACTGAAACAAAATTTACAATCCTAAAACCTAATATAGAGCTTTTTCGTAAGCCTCAATAACCCTGTATTTATTATTGTATTAACATAATAGTCATTAAACAAATACAGTTTGTTTTTCTTAATTAAATTTACATAAAATAAGTTCCAAATAGAATATTAGAATACCAATAAATATAAATAAAACGACCTGTTGAATACTGTTATCATTTTTTACAGAGATGTTCACCTAAGTTGGCTATGCCAACGGACATTGACGTTAGACGAAAAACAAAAGCGTTGATATTCTTGCGTTTTATGAATATGTGTCAATACTTGTCTTGCTAAAATCGGTATTGCGTTGTGTTTTGGAAGTTTTTACGAAAAATGATAGATATTTTACTCGAAATAATAGAAAAGGTGGTTTAATACTGAGTTTATATGCTAATATTATCCTTGCGAAACATTGAAACACCACAAAAATGTGTTGTAAACCGGTATTTCGTTTCATTTTGTGAACTATGACAAACATTTATAGATATTCTAGTTTAATAACTAATAGGTGTAGTGTAATATGGATTTGTGTGGCAGATCATCATTGCAGAAGTTAAAGGTAGGATGTTAATATTTTATTTCTGATTTATATTCTGATCATATTAACACAAAATTATTTATTTTGTTTACGTTCATGCATTGTTTGCTTGCCTATAGAGTGAGAAAAAGGTCTCTTAGTCCAGTAAATTAAGGTTGAAACCATGAGGTACCATAACCATGTACCTTTTGAGGAGTAGTTTTAGGAGGGGAAAATGGCCCCAAATAGCCTCAAATATCTGCCAAAATATGCAATTTGCAAAATTTTTCCTTGAATAAAAAATGAAGCTTAGGTAATTACCTACAAAGATGGTTCTTAACATTTTTTACGTAAAATTAGTAGTTTTCGAAATATTCCGCTTTGAAGATCTCTGAATTTTCTCTCCAAGTCTTAACGCTCCGTTCATAGATTTGATAAACGTAGCATTGATTCAAAGTTCATTTAAAATATTGAATAAGCATCACATTTTGGAACTTATTTGAACCTTGTCACATTCTATGATAATAAAAAACCGGGCAAACCTTGCTTGGCCCAAAAAATTCCAGATTTTTACAAACTTATTCATATTTTCACTAATAATAGCTTATTTGTCAAGATCTTTTTTTGCGGGTGCCAGATATCAAGCATTGCCGTACATAATTTTATAAGTCATGTTTCACAGTCCCTAGACCATCAAAGGGCCTTGGACGACTCTTGGATGCTGATATTTCAGACAAAATGGTGAAGGAAGTTCATTATATCTGGGAAAAAGGACAATAACAATATACTCTGAAAGAGTTGCAAGATATTGCAGGTAATTTTGAACTTTTATCGTTAATTTCCAACGCCTCATTGATTTTTTCATTTTTTTCTTTTATTTACAACACTTCCCGGAAATCCCAAAAAAGCGGAAAATGCTTTTTTACGAATATCTAGTTATTTTTTATTAAAATATTAAAAAAATACGAGTTGTTTAAAGAGATTCTAGAAAGAACCTTTAAAAAATCTTCACAAATAACCTATTATTAGTGAAAATATGAATAAGTTTGTAAAAATCTGCAAATTTTTGGGCTAAGGAATGTTTGCCTGGGTTTTTTTTATCATAAAATATGACACAATTCAAACAAGTTCCAAAATGAAATAGTTGTTGATTCTACCTTTTAAATGGACTTTGAGTCATCAAAAAATATGAAATTTTAGCCGAGGTATTAACCAATTATTTAATAAATTATGAAATATATGTCCGTAAATAAGACTTCAGGGATCTTCGAGGCGGAATATCTAGAAAACTACTAATTCTACGTAAAAAATGATAAGGACAATTTTTGTAGGCAATTACATAAGCTTCATTTTTTATTCCAAGAAAAAAATTGTAAATTGTATATTTTGGCAGATACTTGCAAAAAACTAATTTTTCGGCCATTTGGGGCCATTTTTTCGGCTAAAGTTGTGTTACAATTTTTTCCCTTAAAAGTACTCTTTAAAAGTACTGTGCAATTTGCTTTTGAATCGCTCCATTAAAAATTAAGCTCAGTAATCAATAATTTTTTAGACTGTTTGTTCTTTAATGTCGTCTTTTCTGTAAATTTGTTTCAAATTTACCTCAGTATTTTTATTATATCTCTCTCTTTATATCTCTCATAACTCAAGAACATATTCGTATAAACAAAAAAAAAGGAGTTCTTTAAAACGTTTGAAATAAGTTTTTCTGTAAAATAAAATTGGGAAAACTTATTCATCATTTTTAAAATTTACATGGGATTTCCTATGTCCAGGTCGGCGATGCAACACATGGTATATAAAGATTAAAAACCAAAAAATGACGATAATACCACGGTTTGTGTCCAGTCAATTACCTGCATTAAACAGCTTTAATCCTGAGAGAATACATTATGTTGAGATAATGATCATAATGAAAAAAAAACAAATACAAAAAAGTTTTTTTTTCTCTGAAAACTGTTATTAGTTGGACGACTTTGGGCACATTCACAATGTGAGTAAATATATTTTAACAAAAATGCATTTATGCAGGTGGCATTCAAACCCATTGTTCACAAGTATTTGCTATACTCTGAGCTAAGATCTAAAAATGAGATTTAACAATGCCTAGTTCAATATTTATTATGTTCTTTAGTGTTAATATGAATTTGAACCTATATTTTTACTACTTTAATTTTACATTTACTAGATCTTTACCCAGTTTTACATAGTTAAATAGGCATTTTTAAATTCCATTTGTTTTGTTCCTTTTCATTTATATAAATAAATTATTTTTTATCTTTGGTACAAACTAAATAATGGCTATAATCCCGTTATGGAAATAGTTTTCTTATTCCAAATATACACTGAGTGTCCCTACATAAAACCCTGTATATTATTATCTTAATATATACATTTGTTGATTATATAGCATAAAAAATATGAAAAAACATTGTTATTAAATTATTAAGACAGTTCCACTTAAGACAAATAACAGAAATCTACTATAACAAACTCTGAAATCAAGTTTTGCTCGACACGGAGTATTGTAGCTAAATGATTAGATTTTTACAAATTGTAAGTTTTTGGTTTGTTGAAGGACTATTAGAGCTACAATTTAAAAATATTTTTACAAGATACAGAGTGTCCGAAATAAGTAAAAAATATTAATGTTGTATTTTTTTTAAATGGAACACCCTGTATATTATTACATTTTTAGTTTCTTCGATTAAAATAAAGGTAAATTCGATTAAGGTTTATCACACTTAAACTTTACAATTTTTGAAATATTTTCAATTTTATGAAATTGCAGTAAAAATTTTAAGACTTTATTTCTTCAAGGGTATCAAAGTTTTTAATGCTAAATATTTACTGAAGATTATTTATTGATCAAATATTGTGTTGTAATAATAAACAAAATACTACTTTAAACAGAGTGTCTAAAAATATATATTAAATAATTACTAGCTTTAAACGGTATTAACTTGTTTAATTTAAATAGAACACTCTCTATATTTTACGAGAATCAAATTCACAATTTAATTGTCTATCAAATTGTATTATACCAATTTTTACCTATCTTTTCAAAGTTTCCTAGAAAATGCATTTTTTTATAATTTAGACCTCATTTATCACTATACCCATGGAATATTGACATTTTAGATTATTTTTAAAGATGTAACAAATTTTCAAAGAGTGCCAGCTACTAATATTATCCATATAGTTCGCTTATTTCATTGAAAAATAAAAACACTGTTTAAATATTTTTCAAATAGGACCAATTAATATGATCCCAGTATTCAAACTACATTAATTGACTGTTTACGTTGTTTAATAATGATTGCTCCAAATACTAAAAAACTGAATTTTGTATGTGTATGGCAGTGTGGTAAAAAGTAATAATTATTTATAACTACAGAGATATACAGTTTCATAAATTATTATCATAATTTTTTTATTGGTTTCTGAGTTAAATCCACAATTATTTAGAATAATTTATAATACAATTAAATAGGTATACTCTTTTAAATACTTTTCCTTTTGTAAACAAACGGGCTTGAAGTATTATTAATTTTACCACCTGTACATTTTGTACATAATTATGTTTCTTTAAAAAATCTAAAATATCAATATTCCATGGCTATATAGTGATAAATGAGGTCTAAATTATAAAAAAATGCATTTTCTAAGAAAACATATCTCTCACTCTGTATAAGGTAGTCTAATTTTTATTATTGCAACATAATATTTGATCAATAAATAATCTTCAGTAAATATTTAGTATTAAAAACTTTGATACCCTTGAACAGTGGCGGATACACAGGGGGGGCCATGGGGCCCGGGCCCCCCCTAAAACCTGTATATTGGGTTAAATCTTAGGCTTTTGAGTTAAAAATGGCGCCTTAAAAAGCATATTCTACATGACTTTTTATTTTGGGCCCCCCCTAAAATAAATTCCTGTATCCGCCCCTGCCCTTGAAGAAACGAAGCCTTAAAATTTTTCCTGCAATTTCGTAAAATTGAGAATATTTCAAAAACTGTAAAGTTTAAGTGTGATAAACCTTAATCAAATTTACCTTTATTTCAATCGTAGCATCTAAAAATAGAATAATATACAAGGTATTCCATTTGAAAAAATACAACTATAATATTTTTTACTTGTTGGGGACACTCTGTATCTTGTAAAAATATTTTTAAATTGTAGCTCTAATAGTTCTTCAACGAACCCAAAATTTACAATTTGTAAAAATCTAATCGTTTAGCTACAATACTCCGTGTCGTATGTGGTGAACAACCCTGTATTATAGAAATGTATTATTTTTCAAAATCGACTGATATTCAACTTAACCATATACAATCAGGTTATGCACATACCAGGTCATATTATAACGATGGAGTAAGACAAATTATTATTTGTTCAAAATAAAACTTACTTTTAAACTCAGTTTACAACACAACTCTACCAATACAGTCTAAAATATATTTTCCAAACAATCTATATTATGCGGGACACTCTTAGTAAAACAAGGAAATCTCTATTCAAAGAACCGCCCCATCCAGCCAAGAGATGTCGGCACTAGCACAACTTTTCCCAGTATCTGTAACATCTGAGACTATAAAATATTATGTATTATATTACTCTTCAGTATGTAAAGTTCTGAGAGGCTGGAAAATAATATAGAGTATTGTAGTTTACTGTTGCTGTAGCAGAAGTTGTTCCAGTTCATCGGCTGATCTGAGCAGAAATGCAGCAGATTCCCTGTAACCTGTGATTAGCTGTCTGACTGCGGCCATTTCGCCAGTGTTCAACTTGTGATTGACCAGAGGTTTCTGTTTTATACTCAAATCTGCAGGGCCTAAAATATAAATGATATATTACTTTTAAATCGACATATATACTAGGACAATTCTTGGGGGGAGACATAAAATTGTCTTGATAATGATCTTGAATTGAAGCATTGATTAAATGATAAATTCTGCATATTGAAAGCTAAAATTTGGATTATAATAGGTTAAGGGAAGTCGACATATTCGATCTGTCTAAATCAACTGATTGCATATCAATCAAATAGGGAGATCAGAAGAAATAATTATTTCTGATTATAAAATCGTTAAAATTATTGTTATTTTAAAGTCAAGCCTATGTATATTATTTAAAAACCCAAAAGACTAATAAAATAGCTTTTCAACGATATATTATGTTCCTATACATCAACCTTCTGGTTTCTTCAGTAAAGCCATTTAAAAGATAATAATTAAATAAATAAATGCCTTTATTGTCAAAAAAATTACAATTTGTAGACAAAGGTAAAGTAAACAAACAAAGTAAAGAGTGTGAGATGGTCTTTCTTGAGAAGCTGATACATGCTTACGTATTAGGCAAACGGATTCACAAATATAAATAAGGAAGGAAGAGTTAATATTTTTAATTTTTCAAAAAAAGTCCTGGCAATGAGTTCTGCTGTTTAGTCACAGTGAATAACGAACAGCCCTCTTCTGGAGCTTGAAAATGCGGTCAAATTGAGTCGCACAACACGAATGGAAGGGTATATCTGAGGTGCGACTCAAAAAGTGCATAATAAACAGTTCTAGCCACTGACAAGTTAAGCTCCTTAGAAACAGATCTTAATGCAAAACAGGCAGAGCTTAATTTTTTCGACAATGCGTCGATATGCATGTCCCATTTTAGAGAATTGTCTACAACAAGCCCTAAGAATTTTACAGATTTTACGACGTCAATGGTGGTGTTGTTAAGTACAAAAGGCTGCAGCGAGTTTTTATATGACAAAGCTTTAGTTTTAGAAATGTTGAGACTCAGGAGGTTCGAATCGCACCAAGATTTAATGGTGATTAAGTCATTTGATATAATCCTATGAAGTGCCGTGACGTCCTTGTTGCTCCAAGTGAAGCTAGTGTCGTCCGCAAAAAGACATATTTTACCACTGATGTTATGGTACTCTATTGGCTTGCTAGAAGACAACGTGGTATCCACCCTCACAAGTTGACTTCTGTTGCTCAGATACGACTTAAACCATTCGAGAGATGTTCCCCTGAACCCATAGTGCTGCAGTTTATTAAGGAGGGAAAACATTTGTGGACTTGTTGCTTAGAAATCCAAATTGATGTTCAGTAAGTATTTTGTACTTAAACAGAAAAGATACCAGCCTTCTTTTAACCAAACTTTCTATGATCTTGGATAGCGTTGGAAGGAGTGCAATTGGGCGATAGTTAGAAATTTGATCTTTGTCTCCTCCTTTATGCAGAGGAATGATTATTGCCGTCTTAAGACATTTTGGAAAAATACCATTTTGAAATGACATGTTTATTAAAGTAGTTAGATGATTCAGAAGATTTAAAAGTATAAACGGTATAACTATTTTAGAACAAGCAAACATTTTTACGAAGAACACATTTTTCTTAAAATGTCAATAATAAAAAAGTCTTTCCTTTTGTAAAGACAATCCGGGGACATACTGTAGACTATTACTACTCCAACTAAATTGTTGCTTACCCGTCGTTAATAAGCCTGCCGCCGCAGCAGCGCCAAACGGCGGTCCAGGAAACAACGGGTACGGCCCTGCCCTCTGGAAGGCCTGAGAGAAGTTCGGTCGGTACATGGCTGTGGGAGTCGAACCTGCCACCGCAGCCACGGCGCCTACCACGGTGGGACTCGGGCCGATGCCGTTCAATGTCGTCACGATGCCCAAATTGTTGGACGAACTGAAAATCAAAGACATATAGAAAATGTCATCAAAAAAAGTAATCGCAAAACAATTTCCGATGCACGTAATCAACTTTGCGTGACAAGCGATGGCGACAGTGCTGCCAGATTGTGATGGATTTATGTGATGAATCTTAATGTAAAATTAGGAAACAATATATTTATTATATCATTTTTAAAAAATTTTACGTTTTATTTTTAATTTCATAATTCATATTTTAGTAATTAATTACTTAAAATAACTGTTTGTGCTTAGAAGTACAATTTAAAAAAATTATGAAAATCGGCAAAAACGAAAATTACTCCCAAAGATTCAACAACAACACGATATTATACAAAATAATGACTGACATTATGATAGTCAAATAATAAACGACAACCTTGCTGATCGTGGCGCAATGTGACATGGCGATAATAAAAGTAGCTTTAAACTAATTTTTGCAGCTTTAATCTAAATAAAATATCTGTTACAATCATTTGCTCTATGAAGTAAAATAAGGAGCTGTACGGTATCTTAAATTATACAAAAAATTTAAACAGAGACAAATTGGGTTTAGTGTCAATTGGGATATGATTGATGACGTACATCGGAAAATGTTTTGCGATACTAGTAAATAAATCTTTGTTTCAGTTTACCTTAATGACGTTTTGATTTCTGTGGTGACAGGTCCTTTGGTTATAGAATTATGTGTCGTAGAAGGTGCTGTGGTTGCTGAAGGGAATGTATTGGATATATCGTTTTCTATCTTTGTACTGTTGGGGAAATCTAAACTTCTATTTATGGCCGCGGTTGTATCTGTAGGCTATACAAGAATTATTTTATTTATATTTTGTTATTAAAAAAAAATATAAGATAATTATTATCACACAGTAATAAATAAAAATGCATGTTAATTTACCCTATGTACAGGGCGGTCGAAATTGGTCTGTTTTAACAGAGAAAACCTGTTTCCTGACTAGATAGAGCAAAACCGATATAGATGTCATGGGCTCGATTTCTGAAACACGTTTAATGGCGTAAACCGCCTGTTGATATTTTCACTGCCCACTGAGATACGGGGTATTTTTGATTTTTTTACCATTTTGAAAATTGCTCATAACTTTTTTATTTTGCGGAATAATAAAATTCTGTAAAAACGTTCTTAAGGCACTTTTTTAAGCACAATCCAGTGGCGTACTCAGTTTTTTTCTATGCTTGCTCTTTTTGTTAGAAATAATGAAAAATATAATTTTTTAAATGGAAATCATAGTTGGCTATGAACTTAAAAAAATGCTGGCGTTTAACCCTTTTCAACGTTATAAAGTTATATATATATATATAGTATCTATTTCTAAGAATGAGAGAAATATTAGGTTTTTTATCTTTATATCGAAGCGGGCCTTGATTTTGTGTTGACCTATTTGCCTAATTATTTTTTATCACAATTTAATATTCATTATTATTATTTATCTGCATAATTAAAGACTTTTGTAAAGGTAAATTAACATTCTATAGTAGTATTAGTAATTACAATTGAAAGCGATACAATAAACATAGAACAAGACTAAAAAAACATATTTTTTGTGTGGAGAATATAGTTTTCTAAAAAAAATCATCAAAGATGTTCAAACTTGCACCATCCTTGTTGAATACACAATAAACATCTTTTGCGCATAGAGTTGCAACGATTTATTAGGCGAACTAGTGTAATAAGTCCAAAAGCTTGCCTAGTAATCTTCTGCAATTCCTTCTCTCGTCCCAATGGTTGTTCCCTTATAGGTAAGGTCTGTTAATTTCCCCCATAAAAATGTTGAAAGGAGTTAAATTACAGAACCTAGCAGGCCTAGATATGGGGGCCAAGATATGAGGCCCTTTGTTCAAATCCAATTCTCACTAAATTCTCCATTTAATAGTGCAGTTGTAACCCTGTAATTGTAAATGGGAATACTAATATAGAATGTTGATTTACCGTTTCAAAAGTCTTTAATTATGCGGATAAATAATAATATAGAATATTAAATTGTGATAAAAAATAATTAAGCATCTATAGGTCAACACAAAATCAAGGCCTGCTTCGACACAAAGATAAAAAACGTAACATTTCTCTCATTTTTAGAAATAAATGCACATAACTTTATATCGTTGGAAAGGGTTAAACGCCAGCATTTTTATAAGTTCATAGCCAACTATGATTTCCATTTAAAAAATTATAGTTTCTATTATTTCTGACAAAAATAACAAGCATAGAAAAAAACTGAGTACGCCACTGGATTGTGCTTAAAAAAGTGCCTTAAGAACGTTTTTACAGAATTTTATTATTCCGCGAAATACAAAAGTTATGGGCAATTTTCCAAATGGTACAAAATTAAAAAAGACCCCGTATCTCAGTCAGCAGTGAAAATATCAACAGGCGATTTACGCCATTAGACGTTTCTCAGAAATCGAGCCCATGACATCTATGTTGGTTTTGCTCTATCTAGTCAGGAAATAGGTTTTCTCTATTAAAACAGAACAATTTCGACCACCCTGTACAGGGTGGCTCGAATTCGACGCTCATCATTGGGATTTCGGAAACCGTAAGAGATACAGGATCGGTTAAATGGAGGCAATATTGCGCAATTTTATGCTCAGTAAAATGCCGTGTTGCATTTTGAAAAATTCCGAATATATTCGAAAAAAAATGGAATTTTCAATTTTGTTTTCTATTGTTTCCTGGCTTTATTTGTTAAGATAACTTAAAATGAAAAACACTTTTTCATGGCCACTTTTTCTGCTCATAACTAACTAATGAGTGATTAAATATTGACTCTGACGTTTCGACTTCTGGCGACCATCATCAACTTAATTTTTTTAAATACGGACCTGATTTTTTTTTAAATTTAATTAAATCCTTTCATCAATCTTAAAACACTATATATAGTCCCTTTGATATTTGCCGACGTTTCGTACAGAAAAATCCATCACCAGAATATTTTATGCACAAAAAATAAAAATGCAAGACGGCATTTTATTGAGCATCAAATTGCGCAACTTTGCCTCCATTTAACTGATCCTGTATCTCTTACGGTTTCCGAAATCCCAATGATGTGCGTCGAATTCGAGCCACCCTGTACAAGGTGAGCCAAATTGGGTATTTTTAAAAGGAAGCACCCTTTTCTATAGGAGATAGACGAGAACTAATATCGATGTCTGGAGCTCAATTTTTATCAAAAATATGATGGTAAAGTCTGAATGAATCATTGGACTAGGAAACAGTTCTTTCATCAAAAATTATTTCTTTCTTGATCTTTATTGCACACTCTGGACGAAACAAAAATTGTAGGCAATCTACACTTACCACTTTCGATGGTGATAATCAAAAATGACAAATATAAATGAGGTTTTGATACCGTTTAAGCTTTGTGAGACTTATTCTAGATACATTCTTAGAAGATTGTATTAGTAGAAGGGAAAAAAGACTTACTTGAACGCCAGGCACGACAGGCATTGGTTGACTAACAGGTTCCAGTCCTAGCCTCATCCTTTTGGCGTTATGGCTTTCGTTCTCGCATGCTGTTGCGAGAATTTGTTCGGCTTGTACTGAGGTCAGATGAGCTGGAGTCGGTCTCGACTATAAAACGAATATTATAATTAATACCGTATGATCGAGAAAAAACGGCGTCAAAGGCGGCTGGGGAATGACTATCGATGCTATTTTTGACGAGGTCGAACTCTGCTCAAAGTTAATTAACTTTATTTTGATTTTTTTAGTTAATTAAAATTCTTCTTCTTTTCACTTTAAAGATCTTCAAATAAATTAAATTTTAATTAAAATGAATACTAAATGTAGAAAATCTAGAAGACAATAGTAAGTTTCCGGATACAGAAATCTATATCCAAAAATTATTTTTTTCTGATAATTTGAACTATACCAGTTTTAATTAATAAAAAATCTATATTAGGTAAATCTAGTAAATCGTAATTAATACTAAATGCCTCTTTAAAAGTAAAGAAGAGAAAAATCAAAAAGGCTCTAACCTAACAATCGCCCGTCCCAGTTCCAGGTATTTCGATAACTCTTAGAGTCTGCTTAGAGTTAACAAAAATCAGATTATTCTACTGTTAAAATGTATGGATTATCCTTTTGTAATTGTCTAATATAGACTAGACCCTTCAGATTTAGTAAAACTGTAGCTGTAAACCAGTTATGTGTGTTCATTACTATACATGGAAGAAGTATCGTGTTTATCAACAAGGTTAATTGTAGGCCTTAAATTTTGCTTAATATGGTCATATTTTGTAATATTCAACTCATAATTGTTGATACTTCTGGTGGATGATATTCAATTTTATACAATATGTATAAAATATAAACACACTAAATTGAAGTACTAGAAACGGTAAGGTGGGATATTTTTACGAATCTGTATTATTACTTTTTTACTTATAGAATATCTACAGCTGTGTATAACCTCTAAGAAACAAATTAAATGAACAAAACTATGTCCAAGAAATAGTCTATTGTATAGAGGATTTAATAACAAATATTAAACCAGTGTTTACAAGATCAAATTCGATTATCAAAATATAAGTCATTTACGGCGTAGAAAGCCTTGCCTAGTAAATAAGATTTCAATGCTTTGCGAAATGAAGAAAATGATGTTATGAATTTGGTTTCAAATGGCAGGTGATTGTGCATTTTTATGTATATAATATTGAACTTTTAACTAACTCTGAGTCTAGGTAGATAAAGGTCTTGCTCCGTGTTCCTGAGTTGGTAAGTGTGAGATGGCCTTTCTGATACATGCTTACGTATTAGGCAAACGAATTCAAATATAAATAAGGAAGGAAGAGTTAATATTTTTAATTGTTTAAAAAAGTCCTGGCAATGAGTTCTGCTGTTTAGTCCCAGTGAATATCGAACAGCCCTCTTCTGAAGCTTGAAAATGCGGTCAAATTAAATCACACAACACGTACCCCAGAATGGAAGGGCATATCTGAGGTACGACTCAAAAAGTGCATAATAAACAGTTCTAGCTACTGATAAGTTAAGCTCCTTAAAAACAGATCTTAATGCAAAACAGGCAGAGCTTAATTTTTTCGACAAAGCGTCTACAAGCTCTAAGAATTTTACAGATTTTACGACGTCAATGGTGGTGTTGTTAAGTACAAAAGGCTGCCGCGAGTTTTTATACGACAGAGCTTTAATTTTAGAAATGTTGGGACTCAGGAGGTTCGAATCGCACCAAAATTTAAGGGTGATTAAGTCATTTGATATAATCCTATGAAGTGCCGTGACGTCCTTGTTGCTCCAAGTGAAGCTAGTGTCGTCCGCAAAAATACATATTTTACCAATGATGTTTATGTTAGCAATGTCGTTAATAAAAAGAAGAAACAAAATAGGGCCTAGTACTGAGCCTTGTGGTACTCCACATTCTATTGGCGTGCTAGAAGACAACGTGGTGCCCCCCTCCTAAACATTCTACATTCTAACTCATTTTCCAAGTTTCCAGTAACTGCGTGGCGAGAGTATTATACCATCCTGGTCACTTCATCTACGTGGTCTGTCTTTTAATGCATGCGACAGAGATAAATATAAATGACCGGTTGATAGACACAGAGACAAAATAAAAAGCGGCATACAGTGTTGCCGGTTTTTACGTTTGTAGGAAAATGTGTGTAAAAAATAAATGATTTGGTTATGATTGATATTTGGCTTAAAAATATAATTTATTACAGTTGTAGTAAAACGAGTAACTAATTGCGAAAAATAAAGTTCCAAAACTAGATGCTAGATTGCTAGATTTCTCGACGCTGGACTTTTGAATCAAAATCGGGACGGGTGGCAAACCTGTCTACACATTAAAATCCAGACCACGCAGCTGACCAGATCGGTATAGTTAAGTTACTTACCGCATCCCAGGCGGTGCTCGGGTCCCTCGCCCTCTTGTTCCGTCGACACGACTTCAGGTACGTGCGTATACGCTTGCGCGCCCTCTCGGCGAACTCCGGAAACTGCCTCGTACACGAATCTATGATCGCCTGGATCTTCTCTTTAGGCTGTTTGCTGATCGGCACCATCCTGTCCAGGTTCTCGTCAACGAATAACCTCACGAACATCTGCAATCAAATTAATCATATTATGATAGGTAATGTATTCTTAGTTGTCCCCTGCTTATTAAACGGTTTATTGCCGTTCCGTTGGTTTGTTCCCATTAATTAGTATACAGGGTGATATGAATTGTACTCTTGTACTTCGGCACCTATTCTGCAGATGTAGAAATATAATTTTTTCTCCAAATAATTTCTGAACAAAGGTCGATATTTCGATGCAAATTGTACCGGGTGGCCAACTAAGAATGGACGCCGGCTGTATCTCAGAAACTACTTATCATATAACTTTGGGAAAAAGACTCTAATAAGTAAATCGACCAAGAGAAATCGCTGGAAATTATTTTCAAGTTCGAGAAATGCCCGCTAGAGGGCGTTTCTCTAATAGCCAATCAGAAAACAAGTTTTTTCTCAAAAATATTCAGGTGAACAGGTATTTTAAATATTACTATTGTAATCATCGAGAAATTTGTAATTTTTTTGATATAAAGTATTTTGCTCTATCTCATAAAATAAAGTGGTGGGGGAAGGTTAAACTTGCTTTTATTAAAATAAGGATAACTCTGGTTTAGGTTACGCGATTTAAACAAACTAGGGCTCGTTTAAAAGAGCTTTTCTTCCTTAATAATCTCCAGTATAAATTTTGTTTCCACAATTTTTTTCGTGGTAGCTAGAGGGCGCTGTTTGATATCATAACAGATATTGCGCTTTTGCGTAAAAAAATTAAATAGGAGGCTATATTTCTCTTTACACAGTTAAATAGAGCACAAAATTTCCAAAATATCAGCGCAAACCGCAACTTTCTATCTTCCCTTTAACCGGAGATATTAAGAGAACAAATCATGATAGGCTGCCGCTTAGGATTATATAGTCTAAAAATTATAGTAGTAGGCTAGGAAACAAAAAGAGGTAAATTAGTTACGTCAAAATATCAAAACATATTTATATTTTAATTTCATTTTAATACCGTTTAATTATTATCTATCCATGTTTCATTCTTGATTCGATCTCATAAATTAAAACCCAGGCATATTGTATCCGATGACGGAGCTGGCCATGGAAATATGCCGCTCCAGCGTCTCTATCTACTAAAGTAAGTGGTATCCAAGAAGCCCCACACATTTGTAGCAAAATAAGCGGCAGCACTGCCTTAACTACACCAACGGCATTCATGCTGATGAAATTGCAACAAATGCAATTTCATCATGATGGATCCCCTAACAAAATTGGCAAATCATTTCTTAGAAATTATGGATAGTTCATTTTATTCAGATAATTAAAAAATTATTCAGATAATGACAAAAACCGTGTTTTCTGATTGGCTATTAGAGAAACGTCCCCTGGCGGGCATTTTTCGAACTTGAAAATAATTTCCAGCGATTTCTCTTGGTCGATTTACTTACTAGAATTTTTTTCCCAAAGTTATACGATAAGTAGTTTCTGAAATACAGCCGGCGTCCATTCTTAGTTGGCCACCCGGTACATACCTTGGATACATGGTTTGAAAAGTAACAACTTTTCGTTCATACCTGTATAAAACTACTGAGTCAAAAATATACATTTTTGTAGATTTTTACGTAAAAAAGGTCTCTTGGTAAAAATAGCTATGAGTAATGATTCCCAAGATATTTGGAATTGAAATAATCAATACATGTCATCATTGATAAAAATTGAACATATAGACAAGATAGTTAGATATTAGGGTGCGTTTAGACTTGAGCACGCACGAGCTAAGCGTGCGCGCACGTTCAAATTAAAAACTTATTTTTTGACGAATGAAGTGATCCAGTTGTGCGCGCACAGCAGAGTTGTTTTGGCGAAAATAATGGACGACCAAGAAATAGTCGAGGCTGCAGTCATTGTTATGCACAGCTTAATTATTAAAAAGGAGAAAAATCAAAAACATCGTCGCTGGTGGCAAACTGTCTTGTTGTCACTGGTAACTAACTGAAAACAAACCTTTAGGAGGAAAAAGCCACTGGCAAGCTAGTCTCCACTTGAATTCTATGCAGTGGTACTTTACAAAGATATATTTTTTTAGATTCCTCTTTCATTGGTGAAACATCCAGGCATTTATTAGATAGATCTGTATATAATGTTGTAAAAGGGAGTAGAATAGAGAGTAGAATATAAAACAAATACACCAATATGTACAAAATGCTTTATTCTAAATCAATATTTTCTTTAACATCACTAGAAAAGTCACACTCATCATATGTGGTGTTGTTAACTTCCTGAACAATTTGATCCGAAGACGTAGCCGACTCTTGTTCATTTTCTAATTCCAATTGTGACATTACCTCGGCAAATTTCAGTTTTGCCATTATCTGCATTCGCTGCGAAAACGTCTTGACCGTCGAAGCATACCCTGAGAAAATCATGTCAACTGCATCCATCTTCTTATTGTCACTTTGTACCAAATTCTGGTTGTCCAAATAAGTTATAACATTTTTTGGAGAGGAGTCTGTATTTGGTGCTGTCCTCAAACGATTGCTATACTTAACTTTAGCAATATTTCTAGGTGAAACCGACGAATTGTGGAAGGATGTAGTTTTTTTTCTACGTACAACGCTCCTGCTTGTTGTTGTGTTGTCAATATCGTAGTCTGAATTGTCTGCGCCTGAATTTTCTTGTCCTGTTGGTCCGGGATATGGGGCAATTACATAAGGTCGCAATGGTTCCATTTCGTTCGCCCATTTCCATTTACACAACAATTCTTTTTGCTTTTTCCGATCTTTGGTAAACGAAACAGTCCTTCGTGCATGTTTCGCGTATGAATCCCTCAGGTTCTTCCATTTTTTCTTTAATAGATTAGCTGGAAATAAAAATGTATATAAATAAAATATGTCTCGCCAAAGCTTACATCTTTATTAGATGCCAATAGAAAATTAAAAGTTCATTCTCTATCATATATATTCATTTATTATCACTGACCGTTGTCATTGTTGTCAAGTGTGAACTCCACTGACAACTATCACTGACCGTTATCAGTTCACACTTAACAACGGTCAGTGATACTTCTAACCGAAACGTTGTGTAAGCAAAATAAATAAAGACAATGGAAGTCCGAAACTCTTTTAATTTTAAATTAAAAGTTAAATTGAATGGCATGGAGCTGGAACGTTGCCGTAATCCAAAATATTTGGGGTTACACTGGATCGATCGCTGGCATTTAGGAAGCATTGCTTAAATACGAAACAAAAAATATCTGCCCGCAATTCCTAAATTATTAGGAAGCTCACAAGCAGGATTCGTAAAACTACATGTTACTGTTAAAAACTACATTTCCGGTGAAACAGGAAGTTCACAACAATTGAATACGTCAATCAATCCTAATTTAGGTCATATACTAACGTACCAAATTTCAATTTTTTATCTAAAAAAAATTAAAAAAATATAGGGGTGAGTCACTTTTGAAAGGTACCCAGTACTTAACTTATCCAAAGTTTTTTTATTAAAGTATCTGATACTTTCACTACAACTTAGCAACATTGTTAGGTGTCTGAGTTTACTAGTGGGACGTAGACGCCGGTAGCGGAATCGAAAAACGTTGACGTTTTGCCGCTGTCTTACCTTTATAAATGCTTAATCCTTCTAAACAAAATGTACTTACCGTTTTGTCCCAGTTCTTCGCCGATCGACCTCCACACTTTGTCCCGTTTGTTCGAATTTTTGTAGTCCTCGTTCCGCCGGTCGTACAATATCGGGTGGGCTTTGACGCACTCGATCAGCTCTTCTGTTAGCGACATCCAATGTGGTGACATCACCCCCGTCTAGGCGAAACTCGAACGGCGAATGAAGCGGTAAAATGGAAAATGTAGACGCGCTGCGCCGCCGGCTGCGATACACAAAGGTCGGGCGGAAACGGTGCGGCGTTGCCACGACCGCCGCGGAATCGCGCCGCCTGGCAAATTAACACGCACAGGGATGGGTTTTATATTTGAATAAAAAGTTTAAGGAAGGTAGGAATGTTCGAATTAAATCGATCCTTTGACATGCGATTCCCGATTTTTCAGTCTTTTAAAAAAAACTCACAATCGATTTCACAATCGCTGCAACCATCAGACACATTGGAAATGATAACACCACATCGTCGGACGGGACATAGTAAGTCCCATGTAAATTTTAATGGGGTCAATTATTGGCTTCCCTAATTATTTTAGAGAATAATTCTATTTAGGTTTATTGAAGAGCACTAAAACCCACATTCAAAAGTTTAACTTTAGATATTTTTGATTAGCTCGTTTACGAGTTATCGCCGATTTATTTTTAAATATTTCTCCTTTCTTATGGCCCTGTATTTACTTATGAGCACCAGTCAAGGTAAAAGATAACTGTCAAATGAAGTTGTCATTTCAGAAATTTACCTATTTAGTGCTTTATTATTATTGAAAACTCATTCCTACATCGGATATCTTAAAGATGTATTTATAAATACTAATTAATATGAATTAAAGTAAAATAAAGTAATCAATTACAAGGTTAATTATAGTCTTATTACAATATTCAATAACTTATTAATTTAGGTACTATTAAATTGTTAGAACTTTAGGATTTAAGAAGATGTTCAAATATTCCTCCATCGACTGCTAGACAATAACCCAGGCAATCATAAAATTTTCTTCTTACATTCGCTAGTTGGCAAACTGAAATTCTATTGCATTCGGCAGAAATAGCATTTTTTAACTCGTCTAGATTTGGGTATTTTTTATCCTTGTATATCCTGTTTTTTAAATGGCCCCAGAGAAAGAAATCATTTGGGGAAATATCAGGAGACCTTGCTGGCTAATTTACTGTATGATTTAGGCCAATAACGTTTCAGTTAAAACTATCGTCTAAATATTCCCGAACAGCCAGGGCACTATGTGCCGGGCAGCCATCCATTTGGTACCAAACTTCCTGATTTTCCCTAGCAGCATCATATATTGTCTAACGTAAACGTGCATTCGTCAGTGAAACATATGTTTTTTTTAAAAATTCATCATATCAAAGCAAAACGCTTGCCGCCGTATTTCGTTCCCATCTCGTAGCTCTTGGTGCTTTTCATATTTGAAGGAATAGTATTTATGTCATTTCAAAATTCGAAACGCTGTAGTGTGATCTATTCCTATTTCATCCTCAAGTTTCCTTGTGCTGATCTTTCCATCGTTCTCTTCCACGCACAATAAAACTTCCAAGTCGGTATCATTTCTTGCATCTTCTCTTTGTTCCTGCCTTGGTTCACATCTGCAGTTATTAATTAGGATACCTTTGGTCTCAAATCTCTGGATATTCCTTGCGATTGTAGATTTTCCAGGTATCGGTCTATTCGGATACAGAGCAGCAAACATGTCCGACACCTTTTGATAACTATTTCCTTGATAATACCATTTAATCATCAATACTTTTTCTTCGGTAGTGTAATTCATGGCTAATATTTGTATCGATGTAGGTATCAGTTTTTAATAATAATAATAAAGCACTAAATAGATAAATTTCTAAAATGACAACTTCATTTGACAATTATCTTTTACCTTGACTGGTGCTCATAAGTAAATACAGGGCCATAAGAATGGGGAAATATTTAAAAAGAAATCGACGATAACTCGTAAACGGGCTAATAAAAAATATCTAAAGTTATTCTTTTGAATGTGGGTTTTCGTGCTCTTCAATAAACCTAAATAGAATTATTCTCTAAAATAATTAGGGAAGCCAATAATTGACCCCATTAAAATTTACATGGGATTTCCTATGTCCCGCTCGACGATGCAACATCCGGTATAAAACATAATTAACGTTATATATTTGCAGCTAAACTTGATATAAAAAAACACCATTCTTAATAATAATAACTAATAATAAAAAATAAACATAATTAAAAAAATAATTAATAGAGGGTAGTTCAACGTTATTTTGTTTTATTTTAGGTTAGTTTAAACATTTAAATATTCATAATCTATTTTTTAACACTTTATAAAAATAGCGTTGATTTTTCATGCAGATACTTTGAAATTAAAGTAATATATTATATCTTTTAATCCTTAAATCTTTTCTGAAATATATCAATGCCTAAATAAAAATATCGTTTCATTACAAACAACATAAATAATTGTCAAAACCCAAACGTGTTTCGTAACCTTTGCAAATATCAATATCAATCTTAAAAAAAATAAAAAAAAAGAGTAAAAATTCAAAGCCTACGGTTTAGAAAAAACCGTCCGACTTAAATGAAATTTGGTATTCTGAAATGAATCTCACCGCGAGAGATGGCACATGTTTTTTGAACACCGTGTTGTTAAATATACCGTGCTGGCAACTGTTACTTTTGGGTCGGCATTTACATGTGTGGAAGTAAATCGCATAGGGATCTTATTAAGTCGGAGTGAGAGAAATGCGACCGACCGACGGTGTGCTGTTGCGGCGATTTTTAAAAGACTTTTTTTCCAAGAGATAACTAGATAAAATCATTAGACATGTTTCTGAGCATCTGAAATGGAATTATAAGGATATCGTTAGGGTGTCATTTTTTTTATAACGAGAAAACCTCAGTAATCGCGGTAATTTAAAAACTCAACTTTTTAACACATAACACGCCATAACTCAAGAACCACTTTTGATATTGAAACTTTTTTTTATTTTCATGATCGGATATTTTACAATATGTTTACATAAGAAAAATTCGATAAGGTTGTTTTTTCCATTCAAAAATTGTAAACAATCCATCCATTTATTTTTAGAGCATAGCAATTATCAGCAATCGTGTAATTTTTTTATTGATAAAGATTTTTACATACTGTACAAAGAAAATACAGCAGAAATATAAACAAAGTTCTTGAAAAAACTACAATCTATTATTTCTAATAGATTTCGAGATATCGATTTTTGAATTTAGAGTTCTAATAGCGCGACCACTATCAAACACCCACTCAATTCCACTTATTTTTACCAAAAATGCAAGTGTTTCTAGCTTGCACTTAAAAAAATTCAAGCTATAGGAAAAATTACAACGACTCGTTAATAAATAAACAAATCAAGTATAACGAGACGTAATTAAATCGTGAAGCTGAACGCATGACGTACACCTTTCCCTAGAACTTTAAGTACTGACAGAGGTTTTGATTGGGTCGACCGGTCAACTGCGACAAATCTGCTATATCCCCTTCCACGTCTCTTAGCGATGTGCACAGTTTCTCGGTTTATTTCATACGTTTGGCAACGTGTTTACTGTCCTCTCTTTGTTCAGTACCATAGATTTAGGAAAAACAGATATCACATTTTGCATTTTCACCCGATCAAACAATCGGAGGTTGACTACGTACTGTAAAAACCAACTGAGATAGAGAAGGCGACATTGCCACATCTCAAATTTGCGCCTATCTACTTAGTTTGATTTGCAGAAAAGGTGACTTTAAAACCTTCACCGGATATCAATAAATCTCAATTTCTTAATTAAATTAATAGTTTATTTTTAAAGAAGCATACGTAATAATATGTTATTAACCAGAGGATGTATGCGTTACTATTAAAGGACATGTTTACTGTTTAATGTGCTGAAACGTCTAGAACTATTGGCAACGTCGCTGCTAGTCTTCCAGAATGAAATGAGCCGTCCGTCCCACCACCCCTCGCGACGGCCCTTGGTCCGTTATAGCGTACTACGTTTAGCTTACGGTGTGTTTGAAGTCGGAATCAAGCCCGAAGTGAACTTTTCAGTGTTTTTCAGTAGTTTTTGCTATTGTTTAACGTACTTTTGAATCTGCAAATTTTCAATATGGTACCACAGTGTCAAATGTGTGGAAACATAAGCTCAAATTACCCGAATTTGTCTTTTCACAGGTAGGTATTGTTTCCGCCGCCCCGTAATCGCCGTACATAGGCGTCCCACAAGGGAGCCTCTCACGATTAAAATAATTTCTAATTATATTTGTTGAATTTTGAGCTATTAAAACAAGAACGTAGTAGCCGGTAATTGAATTATAATTCGTCTCAATTACTACTTAGCTGTTGTAGATCATAACAAATTTGAATATAAACGTTGCATTTGAAACTTTATTATAAGCCAGAAAGTGACATTTTTTTTCTTAAAATTGCGTCATATTTTGGTCATTATATACGATATTCTAAAGGAATTTTGCTCAACAAATAAACAAAGGTGTTTACCCGCCCTTTTTTACATTTGATTGCATTATTATATCTGCCCCTTCGGCCTCGTTTAAACAATTTTTTACCACCATACAAATACCTCTTCCTAGAGTTATTTGTACGGTGTGTTTACCTTTTTTTAGAATGGGACGAACTGTAAATAATTCTTAGGCTACCTGTTTTATACATACCTATATACAGAGTGACCCAGGCCTCCAAAAAAGCTTTTTACCTATTACGTTTTAGGTTTGCAATTTTTATTTCAATTTTTTACATAAGATGGAGGCCATTGTAACGCACATTTTCAAAATATTTTTGTCAACATACAGGGTGATTCTCGGGGTGATTTAAACCGCAATACATATGCTTAATACAGTTCATGAAGATTGGGACATTTAACTAAAATTTGATTGTCTGATGAAGCTACCTTTAAAAGTAATGGATTTGTAAATAAACGTAATATTCCTTATTATGCGACAGAAATCCCATACTGTAGCACACAGATTTGATACTTTTAATGATAAATGCCTTCTATTGAGAGACTAAAAGGTAATTGCCTCGTATCAGAGCCATCATAATACAAGAAGAAGACCGAAAGTGAAATCTTGTCTTATATTTTCAAAAAAACACAATTTTCTCATTAAATATTGATTTTAGGTATAGGAAGTTATTAATAATACAAGATTAAATAACTATTACATAGTACTTTACAGGAAGCTATCGATTGCGAACTAACTAAATCGTTACTAATTACTAATTTTAAAAAGTTCTTTTTAAGATCAAAAAAGGTAAAACTAAAACCTAAATTATCATTTGAGATTAAATGTTGCCTATTCTAAATAAGAAAAATTTATTTATAAGTTTTATAACATCTCTAATTAAATTTGGACGAAAATAATATTTCTGTTTGCTGTAGGTAATTTTCTCAGGGAAAATACGTAAATAAAAATGACTTTTTAAGTCAAAAAAAGTCAAAAGGACAAGTTATTCCAAAAAAGGACTGTCCTTTTCAAAAACGGACAGGTGGCAACCCTAGGTATTTCTGGAATGGAAATTTAATGGCAAATCTACAACTTTAGTTTGAAAATATGTTCCGGCCACCTATGTTAAACCGGCCACTATGTTACCACCGGCCAAAAATGTCTAAAATGTGCTTTACCATTGCCTGCATATTCTGAAAAAAAATTGAAAGAAAAGTCACCAACCACAAACCTAATATAGAACTGTTTCGGAAGCCTGAGTCACCCTGTAAATATTCAAAAGTAACTGAAAGTTTATATAGAATTAACTGAAAGTTTAAATTGAAAATTGATGTTGGAGCGATTACTACCTACTAACGTTTCAACATAAGTATATGTGGGATATTAATTATATTATTATATTAGACCTTATAACAAAACTCATCTGACGAAAAAGTGTTAATGTAGTATATTAATATGGAGTAAACATTTTACTAATTACTTTACTTTTACTTTACTAATTAAATTCGTTCCAAAAAACGATACGCCACTGGCCATTAGAACAATCCAAATGCGCCTAGTTGCCGGGGTCGGAAATTTTAGACTTCTCTCTCTCTCTTCTGTCCTTGTTTGACACATTGGAATGTTTGATACACCACCAACGAGTATTTATGAATGAGATGTTCGGTCTATATTTATAATGTTTTTGTTCAGTACATTATAAACGCATTGTACTCTTCTTACCTACGGAAATCTCGACCCAAGACTAACCTTTGCCAGCCCTTAGTATAGGAAAACAGTATAGACAACATATTATCTAATATTCTTAATAGTTAATATTTTTCTTTCTGTCTAGTAAAAATCACTTACATTAAATGCTTTCAGTCTTTCTGGATCGTGTGCCTGGGCATCTATTTTGTCATCGGAGTCATCGTCGTCATCATCTTCATCGTCTTTGTTCCCGCTTGAACTGGTTTCATCGTGAGCGGATCCTGTTTCAGCATTCACCGGACTCTAAAATCAAATTTTCGTTATTTTAGAAAACTATGAATATACAGGGTTCCCCAATATTCCGTGAACATGTATTTTTGGAATCAAAGAAAAGGTATATAGGGTATGAAACTTATAAAATATACAAGAAACTTAAAAAATATACAAGTTTTTTCAGATATTTTAAGACCCGTTATTCCAATTTGAATGAGATTTTGGATGCCTATGTACTGCTAGGTGCTTTAACATTAAATATTCACAAAAATCAAGAAAAAGTACGGAAAGGGTGAAAACTACCCCTAACCCTACATAAATTTTAGTATAAATATTTTCCGACTCCATCGACAACAAATTTTCTTTTTGCAAAATGGCCCCTCTAGTATTTACTACATTTTTTGTCTCTTGTAAAAAATCGCCACATCCCATAGTTTTTGACAAAATTCTTTTTTTGAGAATTTATTTTTCCAAAGCAGATCTACAAACTATACAGGGAGTTCTAATATTCCGTGGACATAGAACAACTGTGTATTTTTCGAATTAAAATAATTTAATTGCCCATAATTTACCTTTATAAAAAAGTGCTTAGTTTGTCCGTTAGAGGACATCAATCAAAATTAAATTTGAGCGTTAATTAATTTAAAATGTATTAATTTTTTAAGCTTTGTCCGATGCACAATTTAATTGTCTATCAAATTGTATTATATCATTTTTTACCTATCTCTTCAAGTTTTCATAGAAAATGCATTACTTATAATTTAGACCTCATTTATCACTATACCCATGGAATATCGATATTTTAGATTTTTTAAAAGCAACATATGTACAAAACGTACAGGTGGTAAAAATAATGATATTGCAAGCCCATTTGGTTCCAAAAAGAAAACTATTTAAATCTTTGTAAAAGAGTATACCTACCAATTATTACTAATTATTATTAATATTCCACTAATATTTCCGCCAAAAACATAGTTAATTATATACTTAATTATTTTATTTAATAATTTATTTTAAATAAATGTGGATTTGACTCAGAAATCAATACAATAATAAGTTATGAAAATGAACGTCTCTGTTGTTATAAATAAACATTCGTCAAAAAACGAGATAAAATTGTGTAAAAGGTGTTACTTTTTACCACACTGTTTAAAATACACACACAAAATTGAGTTTTTAGTATTTGGATCAATTATTATTAATCAACATAAATAGTCAATTAATGTAGTTTGAATACTGGGATCATATTAATTGGTCATCTTTAACAAAAAAATAACTAAACAGTTCTTTATCTTTTAATGAAATAAGCGAACTCTATCGACAATATTGGTATTACTCTTTAAAAATTTGTTACATCTTTAAAAATAATTTAAAATGTCAATATTCCATGGCTATAAATGAAGTCTAAATTACAAGAAAATGCATTTTCTACGAAAACTTGGAGAGATAGTTAAAAAATGGTATAATATAATTTGATAGACAATTAAATTGTGCATCTGGTTCATAAAAAATATACAGGGTCTTCTATTTAACTTAAACAAGTTATTGCCGTTTAGAGCTAGTAATTACTTAATATAAATTTTTAGACACTCTGTATAAGGTAGTATTTTGTTTATTGTTGCAACACAATATCTGATCAATAAATAAATTTCAATAAATATTTAGTATTAAAAACTTCGATGCCCTTTGAGAAATGAAGCCTTAATTTTTTTACTGCAATTTCACAAAATTGAAAATATGTCAAAAACGGTTAAGGTTTAAGTGTGATAACCTTAATCAAATTTACCTTTATTTCAGTCGTAGAATCTAAAAATAGAATAATATACAGGGTGATCCGTTTAAAAAATACAACTATAATATTTTTTAGTTATTTGGGACACTCTGTATCTTGTAAAAATATTTTTAAATTGTAGCTCTAATAGCCCTACAATTTGTAAAAATCTAATCGTTTAGCTACAATACAGTCTGTGGTGAACAACCCTGTAGATTCATAAATTACCAAAAAAAGAAAATACTATAAAAAAGCAGGGTTGGCATGATTTAAATCAAATGATTTAAATCAAGTGATTTTTTTAATTTTAATCAGATGATTTAAATCAAAAAATCAACTTTTTTAAAACTTTATAATAAAACGAAAAATAACTGTAAAAGTTATAAAAATGTGTCCTAGAAAACTATAAAAAATATTTCTATAACATATATACCCTATATCTATTCGTTAAATAAAATGTTACACTTGCTATTGTAACGGTTAAATACGTTTAATAAATCGAACAAAAAAATTGTAAATGTTATAAAATATAAAAATTGATTTTTAATGAAATAAAAGGAAAATTATTTATTGACCTAAAACCAAGAGAAAAAATATAAAAAAATATAATTTTAATGGTCAAAGAACATAAAAAAACAAAAATGATTTGTATAACACATATACCTACTACATATCTATGCATCAATTAAAATGTTGGACCGATTTTTAAAGTAATTTCGTGTGAATCCATTAGACTTTTAACTTCTAAAGGGCAAAGATTTATTTTGAAATTTATGTACAAGTGACAAAAAAATGCTGTTCAAATACATTTCATTCGCAACCTCTAGTGCAGAAAACGGTTCTTTTGATGTTAGACTATATCTTCAAATCTTTGTCAGAAAATATGCTGTTTTATATTTCTTTATTTTACACTTTTGATTCTCGACTTAAGACTATTTCCGAACAATATTGTATTGTGTAAGGAGTAAAAATTAAAAATTATACTTTTTTGACTAGGTTGTACGTTTGACGGACCAGCGTAAACAGAGAGGCACAAAAGTACATTTTTATTCTGAGTAGAATATACTATATTTTTACAAATTAAACATTACAAATAATTTTTTGTTCAATTTCAAACGTTGCAAATAATATAAAAAGCAATGCCTTGTAAGTAATCGAGTAACAAATTGTACAGAGTGGGTCAAATTCGACGCTTTTAAATGGAAACACCCTTTTCTATAGGCGATAGACGAAAACTAATATCGGTGTCTGGAGCTCAATTTTCATCAAAAACATGATGGTGAAAACCCCACATCAATATCTGTTACCGTTTCGGAATTACGGGGTGTTTTTCAAAAATGTGCATTTTTAACAAATCGCTGTAACTTTTTTGCTATGGAAAATTTTGTATTTCTATGAAAACATTTCCAAATCACCTTTTTACGTAGAATTTAATGGTTTAAGTATAATTTTTTTAAAATTAATAATTCAAGGGTTATCAACAGAAAAATTGATTCTTTATTTGGGACACCCTCTATATTTTTAATTAACTGAAAAGAATTTAAAATTACCTTTCCAAAAATATAGCACACTTGATATTTTGTTATAATCCCCTTCGAAATACAGAATTTTTAAAAGTTCGCCACTTTTAACTAGTAGGCTTAGGACCCCTTATTGATGATATGCCCTTAATGGAACTCGAAAACATATTTTTCCAGCAAGACGACGCACCGCCTCTGAACGCTGAAGTTATCAGCAAATTTTTGCAGCCAATTTCAAGAATAATTGAATAGCTAACCAAGATCCCAGCCGTTGGCCGTCGAGGCCGCCTGACTTAGTGCCCATGAATCTAATCCTATGGATATATTTGCGGAAAAATAAAGGTTCCTTATTCTTCCGTATAATCTAGACAAGAATTAGAAATACTTAGCAGTTATGAGAAGGTATCTTTCACCCCCACTGAGATGAATTCTGCGAGAAATGTTCAAAAACTGCCCCGTCTGTCCATTACAGAAGACGGTCGATATGTAGAACATCTGTATGTAGCAAAATCTGCTATTTATTTTTATTGTTATTAAATATAGTTTAAATGTGTTGATGTTGGTTACATATATTTTAAATTGTTATAAAATTCTGCATCTCTCATAGCAAATATTATTTTCGTTTTAATTGATGCTCACAGCTAGAATTTTTTTACATTACAGCCGGTGCCGTTCAAAGCCTTATTTAAAGCGGGCGAATTTTTATATACTCTATATCTCGAAGGGGAATCGGGCAAAATATCAAGTGTGTTATATTTTTGAAAAGGTAATTTTAAATTCTTTTCAATAAATTAAAAATATACAGGGTGTCCCATATAAAAAATCAAATTTTCTGTTGATAATTCTTAAATTATTAATTTTAAAAAAAATATACTTAAACCATTAAATTCTACGTAAAAAGATGCTTTGGAAATGTTTTCATAAAAATACAAAATTTTCTATAGCAAAAAAGTTACAGCGATTTGTTAAAAATGCATATTTTTGAAAAACACCCCGTAACTCCGAAACGGTAACAGATATCGATATGCGGTTTTCACCATCATGTTTTTGACAAAAATTGAGCTCCAGACACCGATATTAGTTTTTGTCTATCTCCTATAGAAAAGGGTGTTTCCATTTAAAAGCGTCGAATTTGACCCACCCTGTACACTCGTTGAAATTGACGCTTAATATCAGTTTAATAATATATTTTTGTACTTTTGTGCTTAGGCTTGTGCCTAGACGTTGAAATGACAAAAATTAATACTCTTGTGGCATTTCAAAAAAAAACCTTTTCATCTGATGCGAGCGACTTTTTTTGCGGAATATATTGGTGACCGATGAGGGAAAATGACACGCGACGTAGAATTGTTAATGTTGTCAGTATTGGGCAGAGTTATGAAGATTTAGCCATTTAGGATAGGATTTTAATTGGAATTAAGTCCTAATTATTTGTAAATCCGATTTAAATAATGTTTTCTATTAAAATCAAAAAAATCTGATTTAAATCAAAAAAATCTGATCATGATTTTTTCCAACCCTGTAAAAAACCGGCATTAAGAATACGCCTCTCAATCCTAACTAGACCCGAATAATATGCACAAGTACCGCTATATCGGTCAGTACCCCTTATTTCGCCTGAAAAAGTCGCCCGAGTCTCTGCCAAAGCCGCGAGTCTGGCGAGTACCACCGCCGCGACCTTGAACTTACCGACGGGTCTCTGATGGAGGGCGGGGTCGTCTTGCCTTTGGCCAGACCCAGCGCCGAATGGTACTGGGCCCACAGGCCTGCCATCTCCTCGTTCCCCGATATCGAGGTGAGGTCGGATATGTCGCTGGTACCGTTCTTGGTACCTGAAAGGAAGGATAAATATGTATTTAGTTGTAATTTTGAATAGGGTTGGTTGATTATTATCTTTTCTCTGCGTTTTGTGTTTGTTATACAGGTTGAGTCTTAAATAAGTGCAAATATTTTCAGGGCTGGTAGATCTTGATAAATAGTGGAGTGCCCAGAGACTTTTTCCTCGGAATTCAATTACTGTCAATGTATTAATGTGAAACCTTCTGTATTGTGTTTTATAGATAAAATACTAAAATGTTTACCCATTTTTTTTCGTTGTTTTTAATTTTTTATTTTAGTAAATTCTTAATTAATTCCTTCTTAATTTTTTCATTTTTTTTAAATTCTTTTGCTGAGTAAATTTATTGAAGTAAATAAATCTCAGGCATAAGCTGTACCTATTCTGCTTATATTTTAATAATTAAAATTTTTATTGAAATCGAATTATACAGGGTGGCGCGTCATATACGACGCGGTTTTTGCAAGGAGAACAAAAGTTTATATTGAAGTGAAATTTTTGTAAGCTTATGTAAGTCAATTTAAAGCATTTTCTAAAATTATATAGAGTTCTACAGGGTGTCCCGAAAAAAAGTTACACATCAAAGTTATGTTTTTGTAATGGAACACCCTATATATTAATTGATTTTTGGATTCTATTAAAAAAATAAAGGTTTGTTTCATTAGAAAAGTATATGACTTCTTTTTAGAGAAGTATATGACCAGTTTTTGAAATACATTCACTGGCACGAAAAATGGACACCTTAAAACTTTGATGTATTTTAAAGGTTAATATATTTTGCTTTAATGGGCCGATTTTTATGATTTTTAAGTAGTGTGTAGCCAAATTATTTGACTTTTTAGTATCTTTTTCTAAATTAAAGATGAAACTCTCCATCTGTTAATTATACGAGGGAAAACAAAATGTTGATATTTTGGTGAAAGTTTGAAACACACTGTGGAATATGTTAAAACAGCAAGAAATTTAAAAATCATTTTATCATCTAGATATATCCTTTCTCGATGGTGTATTTTTGGTTCATCTCATTAGCTTTATTTTTGTTGGAAATATACGCTTTTGAAGAAGACACTAACATTTTTTCGTAATTTTTACATTAAGACCATGTTTTTGCTTTTGGGCCTAGTCAACACATCTAGTAAGTTCTGGTCCCGAAGCAAGCCTTTTTGACATAAGATTTGCTTCATTTAATCTTCTTCTTTTAGTCCGTTAGTTAATATGTACGTTCCTTAAGTGCAATTCATTATCAATTTGAAGTCGATCGTCTCGATTAGAAGTTTTCATACGTAGGTTCCTGGACGTCCAGATTGACGTCCTCATGGACGTGGCCATAATTCAAAAACCACTTCGTATACTCTATGGTCTGAAGGTATTTTTGGAACCGGAATTTTATAGCTAATTCACTGAACTAAACAAATATAGATATATATTTGACTCACCCTGTATATCTATAAAAATATTTTTGAAATGTGAACTATTAAACACATATTTTGTAAAAGGTTTGGAGTGAAAATCTCAAATAGGAATCCTGATACAGAGCCTTCCGGAATACGGAGTTATCTTGTACATATATATGTATGCATTTGTATATGTGTGTTTATTTAAGTAAAAAGTGAAAACAACGAATTTAAATGGGTAAACTTTGTAATATATCTTATTAACAATATATGTGCAAAATAAAATATATAATGCAAAAAGTTTTATAAAAATTAATTCACAGTAAATGAATTCCGAGGTTTGTATCCCATAATGGCTTAAAGCACTCCACTAAAAAGAAACATATTTATCTTTACCGTTTTTCAAATAAGTCCAAAATAACCGAGTTATTCAAGTTTGAAAATAAAAAAATATTTTTTTAAAAAAAATTGAGAACCACAGGATTTTTTCTATCCATCCCTTTTAGTGTCGTAATATCAGAGATTAAGAAAAAAAAAGCAGAAGTGTTTACAAAAAATATCTATTTTATTTTGTAGATTTTTCTTGCAATGCAGTGGCGAAATATCCATAAAGAATTTTTTGGAGAGATTAAGAAATTATACCATGGGAACATTTTCGGTGAACAGGCAGTTTTAAAAAGTTTTCTAAAATTTACAGAAAAATTTAATAAAAAATGCACAGTTTTCAACATTTTTTGCGAAAAAAACCTCATAGACGTGTGCCTGTGGTCGAAATATACCACACGTAAAATATTTCCACTTATTTCGAAAATATTTCCACTGACTCGCTTTGTATACCATGCTACCTAGAACTTTAAGATCTAAAAAAGTATGTTGTTGATGATTGTCATACAATGGATAAATAATAATTATGCCGGTTTTTTTGTTTGCTTCCAAAATTTATTAAGTTACAAATAGCAGCGGAAAAGTGAGAATTTCATACTTAAGTAGTTGTTCTGTAAAGATACTTTATTTGTGATTTATAGAATTAAACTGTGCTTACATAATATTTTGCTATAAATATTTTGTATTATATTTAACACAAGGATGTTACCTTACACTATCGAAGCACATCGAAGGATGAGCCAATTAGTAGCTCAAGTAAACAAAATTTAATTGAACCCTAAATATCGAACCTTTTAATACACCAAAAATATATGTATATCACATATCTATAAAACCAAAATTCTATATTATTTCGGGCTGTTGGTTAGGGGACTATTGGACCACTAAAAACAATCTTAAAGTAATACAGGCATTTCTCCCAGTGGTTGACATACCCAGAATATCCAACTTTGAGGAACACCTCATCATAGTATTGAGTAACAAAAAGAATTGGAAGAGTTTGCTCAGCCGTAAAAAAACATACCATAACGTACACTGATACTTCCAAAACCAAAGCAAAACTAAATAATCCGAATCAATGAACACCCCTACCCCAGCAACCTTCAGGCAGAAATCTATGATATTGAAAGATGCGTACAACTTGTCTTAGATAAGAACTATCGGAAACAAGAAATAGTCGAGCAGCATTAAAAGCAATCAACTCAGTAACAATCGATTCGAAGCTTGTCAAAAAATCCCTAGAGAAGCTAAACAAATTAGACAAAGATAATAAAGTCCTTCTACTCTAGGTTCCTGTCCACCATGGTATAAAAGCTAATAAAAAAAGCTAATAACGATCTAGCTAGAAAAGGAGCGAACAATCCACTGACTGGACCAGAACCGTTCTGCTTCCCAAGTGGAAACCATCTGAAAGTGGAGCTCAAGAATCTGGAATACTCAACTTTAACTTGGAATGGGAATTCTCCAACGGTCTAAGACACTCGAAGAAATATCTCAAACCTTACGACCGCGAAAAATCAGAGAAATAATCATCCGATTGCAACGAGGTTTTTAACAGGACGCTGTCTCCTCTCACAACCAAACCAAACAACTCAGTAGACTGAAGCTAAGAAACAACGGCGAATGCAGATTCTGTGGGGAAAATGGGGAAACATGAGAACACCTCATCACTGAATGCACCAAGACGATAACCATTAGTGCTATGAACTTTGCTACGACTGATATCGGAGATGGAAAATCAACCTCTGTAAAACCATCTCAGATAAATGGCTTTTGTGAAAGCCCTAAGACTGTATGATGAGTTATAACTCAAGAAAAGGGGACGCAATAGATTTCTAAGGTCTAACCAAAAATAAAGCTTATAATCTAATCTTATAATAAAAATAGTTAATATAATTCTCTAAATTCTTACCATTATATGTTTCTTCGCCATTTTCTTCAGATGATTCAGGGGTTGACAAGTTATCCTGAAATAATACAGAAGTATTTAACAATGATATCAGAATAAAGAACTAATGATATCAGAATAAAGAAAGGCGAATAGAAATCTCAAAAGAAACGCATCTTTCACTAATCATGTTAGTACTTCAATGTTTAATATTTTAATCATTTGTTGATCATGCTAATATGGTTAGAGAAACATGTATCTAGAATGTTTATAAAGTGTTTCGGATTATAGCGGTTTATTAATGTTAGTTTGATATTTAAAATATTAACAATATTATAATTTGTATGCTTGCTTCATCTCCGTAACCGTAGATGGAACAGAAGCAAAAACGGGTATCTTTATTCTCTCTAGTAGGACAATAAGCCAGTCGGCAAGTGCATCGATAGCGGTAGCAAATCCGGACAAGCTGGAATAAGTTTTATTTTGTTTAGTTTGGTGTCGAGAAGTACGTATTAAATTTGCACTCCCCGGAAAGCCCGGATTTGGCCGCCATCTTGGAAAAACTGGCTAAAATTCGGTTTATTTTTCATTATTTGTCAATAACTCGATATCTGTCAACTTTAGTGCAAAATATGTAGAGACCAAAATTAAAGAAGAGGAAAAACTCTATAAAAAACGTTGTATTTGTTTTTTCGTGCGACTACCCAGAGTATCGAATTTTACGAAAACAAAATTAAAGTTTGATACAATGTACGTGTTCAATAAATCCGGGGTTAACTGTACTTGTTTCCACACCACCTTGAGCGGCACCCCCGAGACATAAAGCCTAAAAACTTGTTTGCTACTGGATGGCAGTAGCCTGCTGTCGCGGTCATAATGGCAGAACGCAATTTGCATTATGACCGCAATAACGGACTAAATTTTTATTGTTGCGCGACTGGTGGAAAATCAAGTTTAACCGACTTATCTCTCAGGGAGCTTCCTTGGGGTAAAGTATACGGCGCGATTTTTTTTTGAGTGGTCTTCCCATTTCCAATAGGCCTAATCCACATATCGTCAACTTAGGTTTCTTTTGAAGTGGAAGGTTCATCAGAGTTCCTTCGTTTTTTTGATGTTACTGGCTGTTCAATATAATCTTCCTGAATGTCTTCCACATGTGTATCATATTCCGGATCTGGTTCATAAGGTGCAGAATATTCTTTTCGTTGATCTTTATCGAGAGGAAAATTGTCCTCGTACTCATCTTCGTCTAATTTTGCCATCTCCAAACTATTCGTACATGATTTGCCCTGACAAAGTGCACACATTACCGAGCAACGCAAACCTACTTTGCGACAACTACAAGATGTGTTACAACCTTTGGCACATTTACATGAAATCAGATTTAATAATTCTTGGGGAGCTGCATCTTGGGAAGTAGCAATGGGCATCAACCCATTCTTTGATTTTTTCCATCCCCAATCTAGAGGTAATTTTTCTTTCCCATACCATAGCTGTACCTGACTGTACGTACGGAAGGAGTACAAGCGAGCTGCGTCTTTGGTCGGTGGTAATGATGCTAGGTTTGTTAAGCTTTTGGTTATAGATTTTTCGAAACACTGGTATCTGTACTTATCTAATGAGTCGCATTTTTTGGATCCATATAGATGAAGAAGAAATCGTTCTCCAGCTTTTTCTTTATCTTCTGGGGGTGCGTTTGGGTCTTTGACAGTTGCAGCTGTCTGTAATAATTCTCTTTCTTTCTGTAAAACTTTAACGATTTTCGTTTTTCCTTGTCTGTATAATGCGTATTTGGTGTCGCAGCCACAAAATGAGTGGAAAAATGAAATGTTGTCCATAACTGAAGCATTTAGATTCATATTATGGGGTGCATACGTTCTACTTTGCGACTTCCACTTACCTGGTTTTAGAAAATAAATACTTCATTTAAGGCAGTAAGAATTACAAGTAAATCGGTGTCTTCGCCGACTATAATTACCGTTTCATTGTGATTCTTCAATTGCAGTGTTGACAATTAATGTGTCAGCATCTTCATCATCCGTCTTGACTCGGAAGCCCTCATTCGTCAAACGATTACATATCATTGATATTATTCGACATTTTTTCCTCTCATTTGACAAGAATTTTCCCTGAGACACTGTTTCCGTCATTTTTTCATCAAAATGAATTTCCGGTAATAAAACAATTTTAATAATAGAGGAAATAATAACTGCTTATAATATATTTAGCGTGTTTAAACCGAGATAACTTGGAAACGGGTCGTCGCACGGAAAAAGTACATAGAACGTTTTTTATAAAGTTTCCTCGTCTTTAATTTTGGTCTACACATTTTTTGCACTAAAGTTGATAGAAATCGAGTTACTGACAAATAATGAAAAATAAACCGAATTTTAGCCACTTTTTCCAAGATGGCGGCCAAATCCGGGCTTTGGGGGTGGTGCAAATTTAACACGTGGTTCCTTACACTAAACTAAACAAAATAAAACTGATTCTAGCTTGTCCGGATTTGCTCCCGCCATAAGCTATTTTTTAATACTTGGCGACTGGCCTACAAATAGTAAATTCAAAACCTAATAAATAATACTCTCGATCTATCTTTTGCTTGCGGTTGTATTGCTTAAACAAACATAAATTCAAAAACAGTTCACCCAAATCATCATCATCATCATTATTCTCTTAACATATTCAACCATTTCGAATTATGGTGTAGCCTCCCTCACATATTTAGATCCTTGTTTGTAGTAGGGCCTATTGTTGTCTATGCGGGTCCAAGTTATCCTTGGTAATTTCCTAATACCATAGTACCATCTCAGGGTTTGGTCTTCCTCTAAATCTCTTAATTCCTCGTGGGTACCATGCTGTAATTTTTGAGCTCCATCTGTTGTCCGTCCTTTTTGCAAGGTGTCCTGCCATTACCACTTGAGGGATTTAATTCTGTGGATGACATCAAATCTATTACCTGGGTGTTTTGTCGTATCCACTCTATTCTTTTACGGACTTTCTTGGTTATTCTCAGCATATTTCGTTTCATTGAGGGTTGTGCGACCTGCAGTTTCCTCATAATTTCCATTTTAAGTGTCCAGGTTTCGCATGCATAGATTGTAGCGTTTTTTTTAAAACATTACCACTGCGAACGGCAGCTTTTCATCGGAGAGCAGTCGTGGGTAAGGTATTTCACTAGAGATAAAACTAATCAATATCAATAAACAAAAAATACAGATATTGGGCGCCAGGCATGTACAGAGAAAGAAAACACAGTTGTATATTACTTAAAACTAATGACTATATTTATTCATGATGTTCTTTGCTGGTACATGACATTGTAGAGTTCTAATAAATATATAGTGGTGATATGTCAAAAAAATGGTGTTAAGAGTTGTACTAAATATCTATGAAAGTAATACCATTACAAGACGTAATGTAATGAAACCTAAGATCTAAATCATATTTTAAATATTAAATCGACATTAATGTTCTTAACAATCTAACCACTAAACATAGTCTGTACGATATTACTTAAGATGTACATTATTGTTTAAGACTGAAAATGTTTTAGATGTTAAATGTAAAACTAGAACTTAAATCTACACTTAGCTGTTCTTCAATACAACAAAATGGGGCCAGAATGAGGACACCATGAATTGGAACAACCGTAACTACTAACTAGCTTATGAATGGGAACGAAGCAGCATGGGGCTTACGCTACATCTATACTGTGGCAATATGGGGACACTACCCGTACCTTGGAACACTACTAGGACCTTGGATAATGCCCGAAACTTGGAATCAATACATAGATATGGGAAAACAAAGAAACTGTCCTTTCTTCCATGTAACATTCTGGAGGACAAAAGCAAAAGAACACCAATGTGCCAGCAAAATACAAATACGAGTTAAGGTGGGTCAATCCAAAACTCTACCCTAAAAATATTCAATAATAATAACGAATCTAATAAAGATAATATCTCATCTTTACCTGTTGCTTCGAAATGGCAGCTGATTCAGATTTTGCAGCAAGATTTAAATTATTACCATTTCTAAAAGCCGGGATACAACAGAGCGGCAAAACAAAGTGAGGTTAAGCACGGAGAGAGTTGACAAAAGCGATGTTGACAGCGCCTCCTCAGAGCGATAACAGGGTTGTGTCAAACGATAACAGGGTTGGCGACTAGGGAACGTAAAAATTACGCCAAGCGTGCCAAATAAATTATCAGGCCTGAACGATACGGAATCCGATGACGATACGCCAGACATCATATATATATCATATATAAAAAAGACATGTAACGAACTAAAAACGTTACAAGATCATGGATGATGGATCATGATCACTGGTAGTACACACTGGTCGAATGTTTTCTTCTTTAGATAAAGTGGTATTCTAGATTTGAGTAAGATCGAGTTTCTTCCATAAGTACTCTATGCTAACTTAATTCTTCTGTTAATTTCTGGTAGTAGAGATCCCAAGCTGTGTATGAATTGCCCCAAAAATATGTATTCTTCTATTATTTCCAGTGTTGTGTTATTTACTAGAATGTCTTTTCTGTCTACCAGTTCGTTGTACATTACTTTAGTTTTTGATAAATTCATTTTGACACCTACTTTATTGCTGGCCATATTTAGTTCGTTAATTTGTGCTTCTAGTTCTTCAGGACTATTGGCAATTAGGACTATATGTCGTCAGCAAATCTTAATCCTATCCTATATTTAATCCTTTGTTGGTCCAGTCGAGTCAAAGAATATTATAAGTAAATAATCATAATTTTCATGTTAGAATATCATTCACGTTAGAGTATCATCATATATTCATATCTCCATTACAAATTTCTTGATATTACTCATGTAGTCCACCATTTTAAATTGATGTTAAATTATGTAAAATATGTTTTTAAACTTGTTTCTATTTTTTTTATTTACAACACACATGCAAATAAGTTTTTTAGAGTAATAATTTGATATTCCTGGTAATTCAATACCGATAAAAACATGATTTTAATACAGCTTCGTTACAGCAAATAAACGTTAATTTTATGCAACAATTTTAACGATATTTATAGCTTTGCATATTTCTAATCAAAC